AACAAACTAAGAGGACAGTTAGATCAGGAGCAAAACCATAGAAATGAAGATCACATGGAGGGTTAGCAACAGGGGAGTGGGAGAAGGAGAAGGGGGGAGAAGGTACAGAAAATAAGTAGCATAGATGGTAGGTAGAAAATACATGGGGGGATGGCAAGAATAGTATGGGAAATATAGAATCTAAAGAACTTGAGACAGGTGGTCATAAACTAAAGGGGGAGAATGGGGGGGAGGGGTGTACAGGGGGAGGGGAATAAAGGGGGGAAAATAGAACTGTAATGGCATAATCAACAAAATATATTTAAAAAATAAAACTTAGAAAAGGGAAACAAAAGTTCTTTGCCCATTTTCTAATTGGGTTGCTTGTCTTCCTGGAATGGAGTCGTATGAGTTCTTTATGTATTTTGGAGATCAAACCCTTGTCTGAGGTATCATCAGCAAATATGTTTTTCCATATGGTTGGTTCTCTTTTCATTTTAATGCTGTTTTCTTTAGCCATGCAGAAGCTTTCAATTTTGATGAGATCCCACTTGTTTATTCTTTCCTTTATATTCATTGTTCTAGGGGACATATCAGTGAAAATATTGCTGCATGGAATATCTGAGATTTTCCGGCCTGTGTCCTCTTCTATGACTTTTATGGTGTCATGACTTATATTTAAATCTTTTATCCACCTTAAATTTATTTTCATTTAGGGTGCAAGTTAGTGACTGAGGGTTTTTTTTTTTTCATGTAGCTGTCTAGGTCTCCCAACCCCATTTGTTGAAGAGGCTATTTTTGCTCCATTTTCTGCTGCTGCCCCCTTTGTCAAATATTAATTGACCATAGAGATTGGGTTTATTTCTGGGGTCTCTATTTTTTTCCATTAGTCCATGTGTCTGTTCTTATGCCAGTACCAAGCTGTTTTGATTACAGTGGCCTTGTGATACAGTTTGATATCAGGTATTGTGATCCCTCCTGCTTTGCTCTTCTTTCTCAAAATTGCTGCAGCTATTTGCGGTGCTCTATGGTCCCATATAAATTTTTGAAGTGTTTGTTCTATGTCTGTGAAATATGCTATTGGTACTTTAATAGGTATTGTGTTGAATCTATAAATTGCTTTTGGCAGTATGGACATTTTGATGATGTTAATTCTTCTGATTCATGAACACGATACATATTTCCATTTACTTGTGTCTTTCTTAACTTCTTTCTTCAGTGTTGTGTAGTTTTCTGAGTATAGGTCTTTTACCCCTTGGTTAGGTTTATTCCTAAGTATTTCATTTTTCTTTTTGCTCTATTAAATGGCATTTTTTGCTGATTTCTGTTTCTGGTATTTCATTGCTGTTATACAAAAATGCCCTTGATTTCGGAATATTGACTTTGTATTCCACTGTTTTGCCAAATTCATTTATTAGGTTGAGCAGTTTTTTGGTGGAGTCTATACGATTTTCTATGTACACTATCATTTCATCTGCAAACAATGACAGTTTTGTTTCTTCTTTTTCAATTTGAATGCCTTTTATTTCCTATTCTTGTCTAATTGCTGTGACTAAGACTTCCAATACTATGTTGAATAGAAGTGGTGAAAGTGGACAACCTTGTCTTGTTCCTGATCTTCATGGGAAAGTTTTAGTTTTTGCCCATTGAGTATGATGTTGGCTGTAGGTCTCTCATATATGGCCTTTATTATATTGAGGAATTGTCCCTGTATTCCCACTTTGATGAGTGTTTTTTATCATGAATGGGTGTTGTACCTTATCAAAAAGCTTTTTCTGAATCTATTGATGTGATCATGTGATTTTTGTCTTTGCTTTTGTTTATGTGATATATTACATTTATTGACTCGTGAATATTGTACCATCCCAAAGGATGGTATTTTTAAATGGAAGAAGGAACTCAGGGTGCACCTTGTCTCCATCTGGCAGTGTGTGGTAGAGTTTTCTTTGGGTACTCTAGAGGAAATAGGCCCTGAGGTGGAAGCTTGTCATTCTTTCAAAATTGTACAGCTTTTGAATAAATGACCTCTTCCCGTTTTCACCAAACCTCTGCCTCTAGATTTTCACCTAGATGGTGGCAGCATACAGCAGAACTCCTGTTAATATTCAGTGACATTTCTTCTTGAAAGAGTCATTTTTCTTTAGGGTGATATAGCAAAAAGTCACAAAAATGTGTGGGAAGTGAGTGAGCTACTCCATTTCATATTTTTCACTGTGAGGAAATTTTCTTAATACATTTATAGGTGCCTTACTTCCTACCACAATCGCTCTCATTTCTGAATTTTTTTAGTTGGACTTGTTTTTCTTTTCTCTCATATTCTTATCTTTTATATAAATGAACCCAGACAAGCCGGTGTCATGCTGCCTGTCACCTACCAGTCCCAGTAACAGAGACAGTGATTGAATCTCTATGGACAGATGCCAATGAACTGAGAAGATGGTAAGTTTTTTACCCTAACAGACCATATTAAATTCCATTTTCAAGCAATCCTTTTAATAAAAAAAAGTATAATTAAAGGGATTGAAACTCAGGGGGAAAGTTCATCAGATATAAAGCTGCAGCATTCTTTCATTTGTGTCTTGGGCAGGGGGCATCTTGCCCTGGAGCACAATGGCTCAGATACCATCTTCATTGCTTGCAGTCCTCCTGAGGCACAACAGTGCAATTTCTTATGGTCTCCTGAAGTTGAGGTGGATCCTATCTTCAGTTCCTATAACCAATAGCTTTTTACATACATTGATTGTTAAGCTTATGAACTAACATCTCAAACTAAGATTTTTCAACTTTTGAGTTTCCCATCATATATACTTGTACATGCTTTTGCTGCCCAATTTTTCTTTGTCTTCCAAATCCATTAATGACATTTTCTTGCTGTCATATTTTTAACTTTTCCAGAACACCTTGTTTTAATGTAAGTGTTTATTAACCATGAGACAAAAACAAATAGATCACTGTAATATGATCTTTCTGAAGACCCACAAGAGAAAGTTCTGTCTGGACCAGAGAGCTTGGAACAGACTTAAAGGAGTATGTGTTATGGGGGTTAAGGGCAGAAAACTGTACTTGAACAATAATTAAAATTTTTTAAAAAGGAGTATGTGTTGATTAAAATCTTCTTTGGCTCTCTCTTCCTCACCTCTCCAAGGCTCTTCTCTCCCAACTCTCCAAGGCCAAAGTCGGGAGACCAGAGTAAGAAGCCAGACAAGGTTGAGAGGCAAGCTGATGGCCATAACCTCAACTGCCATAACCCTGCCAGCCTCATCTGCAAAGATGGAAAGGAATATATAAACTTTAGTGTTTGGCTTGCAGACCAGAAAACCAGACACTACAAGATTGAAGTCACAGTAATTTAAGCAACATCCACAGCAGTGACTGCCCCATGTTATTTGAAAGGTATCTCATAGGTGTTAGCTGTCCTTTCAAGATTCAAGATCAACAAGCGGCAATTGACTGGCTTCTTGGATTAGCTGTTAGACTTAAATATGGACATAATGCTGAATAATACAAAGACTCAGTATCTGAAAATACAAAGGAGACTGATGGTGCAACTAAAAATGTGAAACCACTCATCATTTTGCATGTAGATACTTCTGATTTTAAGGCCAACATAACAACGTTGGCTGACCTTCAGATTCTAAGTCATCAAGATCACCTAGAAATGCTGAAGGCCACATGCTGTTCTGTCCAGGGTCACCTGAAACATGTGGCAGTTACTAAAGCAAACTAGACAACAGAAGCATTGATTGCCTGTTGCTTTACAGGAGCACAGCCTTAGTTTGACACAAGAGATGTGGTTCTTGACAAAATCGAGATCAAATTCTGCGATTGTTGCAAATAGAAGAGATCAGAGAGACACAGACCAGAATTGTTGCAGCCACTGTAGCTGTTCAAGCAATTGCTGCTGATCCAAAGACAGACCAGAGCCTGGGGAAAGTTGCAAGGTGAACATTTTAGGATTCCAGCCTCTCACTGACCCAGCACAATTGGGAACCACGTATGCCCTGGCATGTGTTTGGAAATCAAACTTCACACTTGCAAGGAAAGTATCCCAGAAAACTGACTATGTTTTAGAGATTTACCATCCTTGCTTTTTCTTTAACAAGCACTGGGAAAGTTCTTTCTTGTCTCCTCATCTCTCCCAATCTTTATGCCCTAATATGTTAGAAGGGAAGGTTAGTGTCTGGGAGAGAAAAGGTGGAATTAAAGCAGAGAGAGGAAAAAGTGTTTGTTTGCACCCAAGGTGAAGTTTGAGGATCACACAGGCCTGAATACACTAATTTCTCAGTGGAGATATGAATCTCATGTCATTGAAGTGGAGAGCCACTGAACATTTGCATGAAGTAAGCTTGTATGACAAAGCACAGCTTTGGATTTTGTTGCAGAGCGAAAGATGGTGCAGAAAGCAGATGTTTGAGGAGCAGAGTGTAGGCAGGGAGGATAACGTGTTTCCAAGGGAACAGTTAGGATGCTTGTTTCTGGGGAATTAGGGAGGACTGGAGGAAGGAAGAGATACCAAGTGTGGTGAGCAATGCAAGTGTACAGAGAGCAAAGAGTTTCCTGAAGGCTGAGCCCTGAGATTCACTACAAAGTGAGAAGTGGGCAGAAAACAAATTACCCTGGGTCTTCCCAGCATGGAAACACAGCAATGAGTGAGGCAGGCTGTCTGAGCTTCTAATGGGGATGGAATGGCAGTGGGACTGCAGCTTGGGAACCATGTGACATGTCAGGGAGGTGGCAGTTCCCTCAGCAAAGCCTAGGGCCAGGATCCCTTGGAGTGATTTTGACCCTTCACCCTGCTTTTCTCTCTTGGCCATATGACTGGGCATTTGTGCAGGGATGAACGATGGCTCCTGAGCTAGCATTCTCTCTGGGATTTTTCCCTTAGGCCACCATGGTCACTGGATCATGTGTCTCTAGAATGTACTATGGACACCACCCAATGGCTACTTCATGATGAGAACCACCACAACTCCAGGGAGAGACTCTTAAACAAAAACAAGACAGGTAGAGAAGTGTAGGCAAGTACTTTATTGCAGCAAGACGTTGAAACCTTCACATTTTTAAGGGATAACCAGGCCATCCTTGAATGACAGAGGCTCTCGTGTATAGGATATTTAAAGTCTATTTGTTACACACAGCAAATACATTTTTCTGAAAGAGAAAAAGAGAGACAGGAATGTCAGTCATGCTGCCCCTGGAGATGACACATTCACAGGGACTTCTGTTCACACCAACATGTGAAGGACATTGCACACAGCAAAGGCACATGAAACCACCAGGCAGGAGAGCCAAGCAGGTGGGGAATTCAATAGTCCTTTTGCAGCCATGACAAACCATGCAGGACAAGGAAGAACATGTTCAGGCCCAACAGATAAACCCTGAGTGACCAAGGCTTGGGACTTGGGTGTTGAATGGAGACAGGAGAGGGTCAAGGGTTGGGCCTAACAGCCCAGGGTTTCCTTCCTCCAAATTCCAGGTCCTAGGGCTTTACATTTTCACTGCAAAGTGGACACAGGGTGAGGAAACAGGATGGGGAAGGGAGGAGATGTGGGACATTCAGCTTGCAGATGTCCTGTCTTCTGTGTGGAAATCAATCTGATAGCACATGGACATTCCCACATGGAGCATCCAGCTAGTGTGAGAATTTGTGCCAAAACCCAACCTCATTCCAGGGGTGGACCAGCTGAGAAATTATTGTAAATATCTGATTTCTTCCCCAACACACAACAGAAGTGTCTCTGCTCCAGGCAAGGCTGCAGAGGATGTAACAGGAAGGGTCTCTGCCCCCTGCCTATGATAGGTGAGAGCTGGGGAAGTGGGGCAGAGGGACAGGAAAGGGCAAGCTCTGTGAGAGCTGGCGGAGCCCCCACCCAGGCACAACTCTATTCTGACAGAGGGTCTGGGCCAGCACCACCCCCACCCACTATCTCCCCTCCAACACTCCCCACCCTCCCTGAGACTCCACAGGGACTGTGCCAATGGGCTAGAGAACAGGCCCTTCAACCTCTGAAACCTCCCAGGCAGGGAGGCAGCAGTCTCTGCACTCCAGCATCACCACCTGGGGCCTGCGTGTCCTCCCCTGGACATTGAGGATACAGGTGCCCAAATAGGTGGCTTGAGAAGGAGGAACATGCTGCATGTACTGTGCAGCCTTAGTCTAGCTCAGCAGGTGTCATATCATCATCTACCCTGTGGCCACAGGCCACTGTGTCAGAGGTGAGAAGAGGTGCAGGCACCTCCCCTCATTCCGTGCCCACAATGCAGCACCATGATCCCCCTCTTGGCCATGCGGCTGAGCAGAAACCCCTACAGAGGAAGGAGGAACAATTTACCAGAGCACTGAAAACTTTCATTCTGCCCTTTAAGGGCATAAGATCTATCCATTTCTTCACTTTTATCTTGGCCTCAGCAGCTTCTCTAGATGGAAGAAATTTCTGAATATGGATATTGTAGAGCTCTTCAGGTTCCAAAAAGAAGCTTCTAAGTTCAGACGCAAAAGCTGGACAGACTCTTGCATTTGCTGGAGCAGAAGAAATACAATTGATTTAAGGAAGTCACTTTCCCTCCATGGCCCTCTGACCTTAGACAGGGACACCAGGGCCATTATGATCCCATCCATAATGGGACAAATAACAATGTAAAACCCTAGAAGTCATGACATGCTCAAATCACAGAGCAGCAGCAGACCTGGTCCTATAAAACAGGTTCACTGAGCCCCAGTCAGCAGTTCTCCTGTGTGAGTACATGCACGCATTTCCAAAACTCTCCTGCTTTGCTGAAACTCACTTTCCCTGGATTTCAGAAATCAAGGTTTGGCCTGTCCTTACAGTGACATATTCTTTGGTCTTGGACATCAGGGGAGAAAAGCTCTTAGTAATCAGTCTTTCCAGCAGAGTGGGAGACGACAATCTCACAGAGATCAGAACATGGAACAAGTCTGGAGAGGAGCAGGGACAACAATGGAATGTTGACAGATGCTCTTTTGAGAGCAAATTAAACAGTAGAATTATGTCATTGGGTGAAGACAGCTAAGAAGCTTAGAAAGGAATCTGAGGCTTACACACAAACCACAGCTAGCTCTTCTGAGAGGTGGCTACTGGGGCCTTCATTTGGCTCCATGGAGATTGTGCTGAGACCTGAAGTCACCACTCTTCCTGGTCTGGATTTTCCATCCCACACCTCACTCTGCCCCCATGTCTTTACAAATACCTGCAGCAGGGCATGTGCAGCAGGGCATGGGGAAAGAGGAGGAGTTCAGAAAGTCAGAGGATAGAGTCAAAAACACTTGGGTCAGAGTTGAGGGCAAGACGATACACTAAAGTACTGTTGGATGAGTGACTAGAAAACACCTAGAATCGCAGCCAGTGTGCCCTAAGATTGGACTGGTTCTTCCAATCCTGGGAAGACTCTCAGAAAAGGAGCAGGGCGTGTGAGGGTGCGTATTGAGTGAGGGGTGCTCCTGACTGATTCCTGAGAGATCCAGACCACGATGGCTCTTCTTGAAGTGAGAACTCTCCTAAAACCCTCCCATCTTGAACATTCTGTGAGTCTGAAAGACAGAGTTTGAGAGCTGTGGAATCAACTGGCACCAAAGTCTCTGGGAAGAAGAATGACTGATGAGACCCAGAGCTGGCCCCTGACACTCTTTTTCTCACTCCACAGGCAGAGCTGCTCTTGCTGGTGGCTTTGAAAACAAAGAATGAGAGGAGAGTTGGGAGGTTGAGCATTTGTTCAAGTCACAGTGCTACTGAGTGACAGAGCTGTGATGCACATCCAAATCTTATTGCGTCCTGCTGCTTCTCAACATAGATCCTAGATGAGAAGTGAGGCTTCAGATGAGAAGCTCTTCAAAATGGCCTGGAAGGGTTTTATGGAAAGTTCTAAGGTGTTGGGAATTGATACAGGAGTCCTCAGCATTCAGGAGCCTGGTCCACAAGTAGAGGGGCTGGTTTAGATTCTGATTCATTCACCGCTCCTCCCCAAATAAGTTACCTACTTCATAGAAGGTTAATTATCTGGGCTGGTGGTAGTCTGATTAGGAGTGATACTTACCCTCATAGCAGGAAAGGGCCAGAGTAACCAGCAGGACACACAGGGAAAGTCTCATGGTTGATGTTGCTTTGAGTTCAGCTTTAGCAAACAAGGAGCAGTTAGCAGCTGGACTCAGCAGCCTGAGGAGCCCAGGACTATTTGTACCCAGTGAGCCTCACAGGTCCTGCCCACTCTGATGTGGCAGGACACAAGGCCTGCCTTCCAGCCCTCCCTTCCTCACTGAGGCCTGATGCCAACCATCATGGGCACAGCCCCAGTGACTTGGTCAACCATAGACATTGCTGGCACCATGGACATCTCCTTTCTGGAAAAAAGCAAGGATGGAATTTTATAAAACTATAATCAGTTGATTGGTGTGTGTTCCCCAAAGGTTAGCTTCTTAACTGGAGTTTTAGAAATGTACTATCAGTTGATTGAAGGGAGCCTCCTTAGAATTTAGCTCCTTAATTGTGTGCAGCAACTGGTTTTACTCATCTGTTTCAGCCTAGTGCCTGGCACAGAGAAGAGATAAGATGGAAATAAGATACACAGCTTTGGGTGCATCTTCAGTGCAAAAGGATGCCTGCTAGACGAGGGTCACTTTGGGCAGTTGAGGGAGAAAGGTCAGTGGCGTGTGGACACTTGTGAAGATATCAGTGATTTGGGTCATGAGAGATCACTGTGCCAAGAGGAAGACTACCTCCACAGCTCTGACCCTCTGACTCTAATCTAATGTTTGTAAAATGGTGTACCAAGAATTCCATCAAATCAAGCAGAAAACCGTCCTTACGGATGGTTCCCTTCTCAGTAAGCAGGGTGGCACCTGATGGGTCCTGAGGGTCTCAGCAGCAGCAGTGCCCATAGGGCCCATCCTTCTGTCCCCAGCCATGCACAGACACCCTGTGGAAGGCTGGGGGCACGGACCATTCTGAGGAAAAACATTAGGAAGCAGCCTTAGTACAGAGGAGCATGCTTGAGAGCCTCTCAGAAGAGATAGGATTTGACATGAAGTGGTGTTGGGAGGAGGGATTTCGTGGGAACAGCATGAGGGAAGACCAGACACCATGAACCAGGTGGCTGGTAGGGAACACAGAAACCTGTACATGATACCCTGAAACACCAGTGCACAGTGGGACAGGGACAGCCTTGTGACTGGAGACAGGCTATGGCAGGTCAAGCAGAGGGCCTCAGTGCCCTGGCTGCCCTGGGGAGTGAAGGGTGGCTGAGTGGACACCATCCCAATTGCTCCAGTGTTTTCCCTGTGGGGCAACACTGGGATTTCTCTTGGCTGCTGGGAAAGCCAAATTGTACTGGCACTCTGGCGGACAGTGTGGCTGTTTCTTGTAAATTAAGCATCCTCTGACCCCACTGCCCAGCAATTGCACTCTGTGGGTACAAAGTAAACCACAGGGAAGGCCATGCCTGTCTGGAAATAAGGGTAGATTGGAGCACTGTGTACATTCTGCCCCATCTTCTGTGAACATAAAACTAAAGACAGTAAGGCGTCCTATCCAGATGGCAGTGTAGGCAGACACAGCTCACCACTCTGAACAACTACATTCTAATTACAATTAAAATGTAGAACAACCATCACTCAGAACCATCAGAAATCAAGTCAAATGGATGTCTGACAACTACGGAATTAAAGAAACCACATCTATTCAGACCCATAGGAGGGACACAGACACAGATTGGTCTGGTCTCTCTGCCAGGTGTGGTGGATAAAATTTCAGGAGGCATATTTCCAAAGCGAGCAGGTGCACGCCACACAAGACCCCCAGCCCAAGGTTCCAGGGTGAGGAACATAATTGCCCACCTGTTCTGGCTGAGGAAACCATTGGCAATTGAGTCAGTGGAAGAAACTGATGGAGCCCCAAGCATTTCCTATTAAAGAACCCACACATGGACTCACCTACACAGGCTTACTCCCTCTGAGCTCCAGAGCCAGGGAGGCAGCTTGGAGGGCACCAGAGGCATGCTGAGAGAGGCTTGAGTGTCTGGCATTGGAGCAAGCAGAGGCCAGTGTCCCTTTTCTGAGCCCTCCCCACACAGAGCCATGGAGCCGGCAGGCTGGTGCCATATTTGAGACTCCATCACCCTGGCCAACACTGTTTGAATGGCCTTGGAGATCCCCAGAGATTCTGCTCACCAACTTATGGGCCAACCTAAGCTGCCTTTCCATATGACAAACTGGTCTTGATTCATGCTTCACAACTTCCTAAATTCTATCAAACAAGCAACCACTGGCTTCAGTGAGCTCCAGGCCAAGCTAGCAGCAGCCACATTAGCTTCACAGCTTGGCTTTGACTGGGAATCTGAAAGCCCAGCACAAGGAGCAGCCTTCTCAGATTGCTTTATAGCTTATGAAGGACAGCCATTCCTAAGGATTGGGGATGACCTTGGGCTGCACCACCTGGGGGACTCAAGGGCCAGAGCACTCAGTGAACAGCTACAGAACACTTTACAGCACTGCTACCCTGCCACTCACACTTGATACTCCACAGAGGGCAGAGATTGGTGAGGTGGTCACAGCCAATCCTTGCAGCTAACTGCCCTGGGTAAATCCCTCCCATTGATCTGCCAACAGCAACCATGGCTCAACTACAAGAGGAGGGGTGTACTCAGCCTACACAAAGGGTGCACCTCTAATACCCAGCTTGGGTGATAGGGAGGCTGTGCCACTGGACCCTACAGGATACCTACTACATTACGGCACACTACCAAGACACTGAGTCCAAAAAATTCTACCTAATACATAGGGACAAACACAATGAGGCTGCCAAAATGAGGAGACAAAGAAATATGACCCAAATGAAAGAACAGACCAAAACTCCAGAAAAAGAGCTAAACAACACTAAGATAAGCAATCTCTCAGATGAAGAGTTCAAAACACAGGTTATAAGGATGCTCAAGGAACTTAGTGAGAACATCAGAGCATAGAAAAGAGCCAGCCAGAAACAAAGGATTCACTAACTGAAATAAAGAACAATTTACAGGCAAACAACAGTAGAGTGGATGAAAGCTGACAATCAAGTCAAGGATTTGGAACATAGGGATGCAAAAAAAAAAAAAAACAACCAATCACAACAACAAGAAGAAAAAAATTCCAAAAAAAGTGAGGGTAGTATAAGCAGCTTCTAGGACAACCTCAAGAGGGTGCAACATTTGCACCATAGATATGCCTGAAGAAGAGAAAGAGCAAGAAATTGAAAATCTATTTGAAAAAATAATGAAAGAAAACATCCCTAATTTGGTGAAAGAAATAGACATACAAGTCCAGGAAACACAGAGAGTCCCAATCAAGTTGGACTCAAACAGAACCACACCAAGACATATCATAATTAACATGCTAAAGATTAAAGATAAAGAGAGAATCTTACAAGCAGCAAAAGAAAAGAGAGTTACCTCCAAAGGAGTTCCCATAAGACTGTCAGCAGATTTCTCAAAGGGATTTTGCAGGAAAAAAGGGGCTGGCAAGAAATATTCAAAGTCATGAGAAGCAAGGACCTACAACCAAGATTACTCTATCCAGCAAAGTTATAATTTAGAATGGAAGAGCAGATAAAGTGCTTCCCAGACAAGGTAAAGCTAAAGGAGTTCATCATCACCAACTGATTATTATATGAAATGTTAAGGGATTTATTTAAGAAAAAGAAGAAGATCAAAACCATGAACATTAAAATGACAACAAACTCACAACTATCAACATCTGAATATAAAAAATAAAAACATAAACAAAAACACACTAAGCAAACAACCAATGCAGGAACAGAATCATAGGTATGGGTATCATTTGAGGGTTATCAGCTGGGACAGGAAAGGGGGAGAGAAAAGAGGAAATGTTTCAGGGATCAAGAAGCATAGTTAGGGAGGAACAAAATAGACAGGAGGAGGTTAAAAATAGTATAGAAAAGAGAGAAGCCAAAGAACTTACACTCATGACCTATGGACATGAACTAAGTGGGGTGGTAGAGATTGCTGGAGGGGAAGGGGGGCAAAGATACAAAAATTGGAACAGCGTAATCAATAAAATGTACTTTTTAAAAGACTAGTAAAAAACGAAGGCCAACATCCTGTCAGCATCATTGTGTTTTTTTTTTTCAAACAGGAGAAAAAAACAGACAAAAACAAATTAATGAATTGGTCATGGTATGTAGATAGTTGAATGACTCTCGGAGAAATCTATAACCTACTGAGAAAAACTATGAGAATAAATGAAAGTTTTTGATGGAGCTGAATGCAGGGCAGTTTGCGAACCACCCTCTCTTCCCATAAACCTTTCCCACCCTCTGACACATTGGAGATAGGGGCACAACTTGCAACAGGAACTCCAGCAGCAACTAGAATACACTGAAGTTCACACAGTTCAAACAGCAAAGCTTGAAAGATAATGTCATGATATTTCCTAACAGATGTAACAAGGAATCTGAAAACACCAAGGCACACACACCTTGTGGCTGGAGAAATATTAGAAAATGTAAAGTCAACTATTCCAAAATTACTGTAGAGTTTCAATCCAGTCCACTTGAGAATCTTACTCTGAAAGATGTACACATTGTTTTGAACTCTGCAGGGCTGTTTGGATCTTTCAAATTTAAAATATATTAAGTTACTGAGTTGTGCAGAAGAGCTCTGTTTTTGAGCCTACCTGGTTTCAAGCTCAGTTGTGGAACTTTCTACTTGTGGGGTCTTTTGGCAAATTGCTGGTGCCCAGCCTCAGTTTCCTCATTTGTACATGAAGGCTGAAAGCAAACAATTTATATGAGGATAAATAATTAACTCAGGAACAATGTTCAGCACAGAACTGGCAGTAAAAGTCAGGTGTTCCAATTATGCAACAAAAAGGAAAAATGTTAGCGCAAAGTCGAACAGAATAACCAACTCATCCCTGAAGACAAATATCACACTGAATCTAATCAACTTTGCCAAGGAGCAGTGTTGATTTATCCTAAACGCTAATTGATTGTGCTTGTGAATTTGGCTGGCCTTCCAGTGGAATTTTTCTTAGTTAAAGAAGATCATCACATTTCAATCACTTCATATCCTGTTTTATGATCACATTTAACTTATTGTTATTGTTCTTTTTAATCCTTTAGTAGTGTGTATTGGAAGCTAAGGAGTA